TGCCACCTATGCTTGCTACTACAGCAAAAGATATTTCAAGAATTTTGTTTTTGATTCTCAGTTCAACCTCCCCCAGCAAGCAATAATCTTATTGCAGGTTCCAATTACTTTTCTATCACTGTGCCTGATCTAATTGCTAGCCCCTAGGTTCTGCTTGGAAATGGCAGATACAAGTACTGATTAGACCGTCTAAGCTGGCTTTTCAGTTTTTCGATGTTTTGTTTTGCCTCTGCCAATAACAGATTTGAAATAAACATTACTCATCTTCAGTCAGTTTCCTCTGCTTCGTCTCATTGCTCATATCTGAGTTTAGATTGGTTATCATCTTCTGGCACAGATTTCGTAAAATTCTCGATTTACACTCATAAGTTTGTTAGGGTAAATTTTATTTCAGCTTGACTTTATATCGAAGTGATAGTCTGTAGAATCTTGTTATAGTAGAACCCAGACATTGACATGCATAAATTATACATTCTTAAGGAAGCTAACAGATGTTTTATTTTCGAGGAAATAAAACAGAATAATGTTAGTTGAGTTCAATCCTACTTCTTAGTTGATAAACTGCGTCAGAGTCCCACCCGTCATTATCCGCCTTCTTACCGCGTTCTTTTTTATAAGATAGTAAAATTCGGATAAGATTTTATCTGATCTCGTTGTCGTCAGTTCTGTACGTTAGCATATGAGCTCCACATGAAGCCTGAGCACTGCCTTCGTTGCCTGCTTGTTAGTATCAATTTATTCCATATTCTATGATTTCCGAGGTAGAATTCTATCTACATTCTCATGTTTCCTCAAAAAAAAGCTTTGCCCTCGGTTATGACCACGCTTGAGTCAATCCTAATTTCTTCTTTTTGAAAAGGTGAGTTGCGCCAAATGCTCATAAAAATGCTAGTAATGAGGTTTATAGTTGGCAATGGCTAATGTTTCTTTGTCTTTGGAATGTCAAGTACAAATATATATGTTTTATAGCACTGTGAGCAATACCTCAGGTCTTTTTGTCTTTAAGAAAAGAATGTAAATGTTTTCCTTTGGCGTTTTATTGCTGATAGTGGCTAGAAATAATCCGCTCTTAGTTAGCTAGTACGACAAACACTACAACAAGAAAATTTTGGAATGAAAAATTAACAAAAAATGTATTATTTGTAGTACATGTCTGTTCAAGCTTAGTTTATCAAAATAATAAGGAAGTAGAGTATAAACCACTTAGAGAACGCAATCCAGATTCGATTGTTGCCTAGTATCTTAGCAGAAAAAAAGAAAATCATTCTTTTTGCACAAGTTTTTTCTAGCAGGAAATTGTACGTCGCTAGATACAATCTTAAGAGCCTAGAAGACGAAGATGGATTTTGTACACAAACAATTATTCTAACAATTATTTGGCTTTGCTGGGTTTTATGGCTAAATTCCTACCTGTCTTGCCTAAGATATTTATAAGAACAGGGTAGGACTGTTGAAAATCTCTATAATACTGTTTGGCTGTTGCCGAATCAACATTTCAGTACTTATCCAAGGACAAAATCTCAGCTCCTCTCTTTGCATCTTGTTTTTCCAAGTTCCCAATCAGAGTTAGCGTAGAAACGTCTGTCCTTCGAAATTCATCATGTTTACTTTGCAGAGCATTTGTACTAATCGTTTTCGCCTTGTTGTTTCAGTATCCGCTACGAAAAACACATGGTAGACACTCAGGCCATAATTGGCTGGGAGAGAACTAACTGAACATTCCAATTTGCACAAAACGTCAGCAGCCTGAAAGCATCTCCAGACACACACACTGATTTTCCTTCGAACATTCTACGTACGTGGCTCACAAGGAGTTCAGCTATTCACATAATTGCTACTATTAGGGTTTAACGAACTATTAGTGACATTCAGCTCGAGAGCAAAGAGTTTCACTTTGGCCACCATCATATATCGTCAAAGTGTCCCGAAAAGAAGTAATTTTTAACCAGTCGCTGGCGATTATGCAAATTTATCATCCTTCTTCCATGTTATATTAGGTAGAAACGTAAGCATTGCATCAAAATTTTCGGAAATTCCATGCGTTTCTCTAAATCTGTCGAATTCATTCGATATATCTATTATATCTTTTTTATCCTTGCAATGTTCCCTCACGGGGTCTGTTAGATATATCTATTATATAAATCTATCTCTAATATATAAAGAAACGTAAGCGCAATTCAAAAATGTGCAAATACCGGGAAACCGCGTGGCGGTCCCAAAGCACGCTCTTCCAAATAGCACCTTTAGATTACTGGTTCACTAGTCTAATATATAAAGAATCCTAAGGCAAATTCAAAAATCATCAAATAGCGGGTGTGTCCCGAAGCGCGCGGGCACAATCTGGCACCTTTAATTACTGGTCTACTATCACTAGTATAATAAAAAAGAGAGGCAACCAATAATACAATCTGGCTTTCCTAATGTCTGGAACAGGAATTGTTGTTACTTTGTAGTGGCTGTAAAGGCTGATAAACACAAACTCTCAAATTTTGATTCTTTAAACCTTCTAAGATAAATTTTCAACTCGTAATATTTGAGTTGAAAGTGAAAGTAGATTTTTTTGATTTTTGGATAATACTGGAAGGTCAGACAATCTTTAAGTACACTTTTAGTTTAGATCTTATGTACTCTTCTGAATAGAATGAATTTGTGCAGATTGGATCTCCCAACGAAAAGATGCGATTTTTAAATTTTTCTACTCTGATTTTGGTTTCATCCAGATCATAATTCTAATATGCATGATAAAACACTCCATATATTCGTAACAGCGGGAAAAATATTTCACAGACTGAAATGATCGCTTAAGCATTTTGAATGAATTTGTTTGGAATTTCCGGTGTAAGACTTATGTTCCAATCTAAAAAAATCTATAAGCTTGCAAAAAAGTAACAGGAAATTGGAAAACGCATATTTGTTCGAGCGAAATTTTTCCCACGCATGGTTTATCCTCGCTACAGTTCACCTCATTGACTCCGAAGTAAAAAGCTTTTCAACATGCGTTTTCTGCCGAAATCTCAAAGCTGCGTTTTTAACATAAAAAGAAGGAAGAGGAGCTGTTCCACGTTGCATTTGCTACTTCTGCTTCTATAACTATCTATTAGGGTTTTATTTAGTTATGACTTACTCGTTTCCGCTATTTTCCAACGCCCCCTCTACTTTATTATTAACTAATGCAATTCAGATTCGAAATGAATAATTCCAGCCAGCTCATATTTGATTATGGTAATTCTGACCTTAACTTGCACGAGTCCGGAGACGTTTTTGCTGGATGAGGCACTTTTATGCAATCCTCGTGACCCGACCCTTTTGGGCCGTCTGACAAGCAGTCTGAAGAGCTCTTCAATCTGATTGAGGCAATAAAGAAGAACACAGAACGCTTATGACGATAAGCATCCTCGGATAGAATGAAGCTATAATTGGAACTAAAAGGTTATAAGCACTTTCTACGCTTATGCTCTATATGGAATTGTCTAGAAAAAAAAACAGTGCTTGCAACGGCGTGCAATCCATTTAGCTCTGCTTTTTCGAGGATTTTAGCTGTCGCAGTGGTCTATGTAGTAAATATTCTTCCTGCTGTAAAGCATATTGAAGCTTTAGCCTTATTAACTAGTGATTTTTTTGTCTTAAAGGATCAAGGCTGCTGAAGTTTTGCGGAAGGATTGACTCCTAGTTATACTTAAGTATGTAATTTGGATATTGCGGCTTTTATGCGATTTTTTTTGGAAGGAAGTTAGCTCTTGATCGTTTTGTAGGAACTTCTGAACTTTTGCGTAAGATCTGCAGCATTGACCGAACATGCTAAAGCAAACGATCGGCTGCTTCTTTTTCGAAGCTTAGGTTTGCCAGAAACCGCGATTCAAAACGTTTACAAGAGGAGGGGTGGAGATTACTAGTCAAAATGATGGAATCGCAAAAGAGTTGCAGAAAGAATCAAATCTTGACCTCTACCATAGATCGTATACTATTTTTCTTAGCAAATTTTAGCTGATTAGGAGATAAAACAGTGTAATTTTCTCTCAAGCAATGCGGAAAATGGCAAGGCTATAAATTATTTATTTCCTCCATTTATTTTTGATGCTGTTTTCTTTTATTGCTCTCTTGAACTGGTAAGGACTTCAATTCTTTACTACTATAATAGAATTGAATTGGACTATAAAATTCTCAGAATGACGACTCGCATCCGAAAGAATTGCTCTCGATTTGTCCTCCACACATCTTTTATATTCATAAGCTTATTTGTCCTTGCGCGGCAATGGGCTGATTACGTAGCGCCCTCAAATTTTACGTTTTGTCAAAATAAGTGACTAGGGAAGGATTCTTACTTCTTTAGAATGGCTCTCGCTTTACATCGTAATTAATTATTTATTATTTACGTTAGCTTTATTGAGCATGAAGTTGTATGCTATGGCAGCTTTGGAGTGAGTGAATACAATTAGAGTGTTTTCGTCCATGTGAAAACAAGGTAGAGCAGTAAAAAATTGATTTAGTTAGAATGAGTGGTATATAACACTTTTTTAAAATTTTTCCATCGTGGAATGGCATTTTACTGTCTATGGGCTTAAGTGAAATTTTATATCACTCCAGGGATTAATGTGCTAACCATTAAGTCCAGGAAAATAGCGAAAAGAGAATAAAGTAAAGCTGGATTGGAATAGCTTTGCCAGTTAGTGCTTTCGTAGACGCAACTAGTCCCAGACTGTGAGAATCTGAAAATGCGTAACGCCTACTGTGAGCTCATCAAAGACAAGAAGGAACTCCAGACATAGTTCTGTTTTTCTGCAAAAACACTACTTGCGCATTTGTTCAGACCATTCTTCTCATATTTTCTGCAAATCCCATTTTCATATCCTGTATTTTCATATTTACGTAGAATTTTCTCATGCATAAGAATTCGTTTTATTCCGATCTTTTTGCTCTGTTTTACTGCTATAATGAAAAGTGTTTGATTTCAGTCTATGCACCCGCAGGTATTTTTTATTGTCGTTCATCAATCCGTGGTGATGGCTCTGGCGACATTTGGAAATTTATTTCTTATTTTCGTCATATTTCGAGGTAATCAAGTTGTGAGACGACGGATATCGCCAGTTCAGGTAGATCATTTTGTCGTAGTATGTCATTTTATCTATATTACGAAGCAATTTTCTGTTTTTCTGCACTCTCTACTAGTTCCAATCATAGGTTGAAAATTGCAAACTAAAAGGTTTCGAATGATAAAGAATTACGTGGCTAAAACTCAAAAAATGACAATGTTCCACTTAATTAGAGCCAGACAGTTGATTTCTGGTTCTTAAATCCCTCTACTTTTTATGTAGCCATTAAGGCAGTCAAATACTAGTGAAAATATATGAATATCTAACATCATGTGTATAGTTTGCGAGTCTAAGGTTTCCAGTTATTTAGTTTCTTTTTTTCAGCTTCTACTACTTCATACTTGCGCTGCAGACTTGCTATTCGCTCTGCTTACCTTGGGAACCGAGATTTTGACATTGGTAAGTTGATTTTTGCTAGACCGAAAAGAGATAATATTTAATGTGGCGATGCGAATGTGGGTAAGTCTTGCAAAATTTTCGATACTCATGGATGAAAAAAAAAATAAAAACGCGAGTCCGAAAAAAATTTCCTTCGTAAAAAAATAAGTCATCCGGGCAGTGGACCAAGTAAATTTTTTTTTTGAAGTGCATTATGTCAAACTATATCGTATTTTTTCTGGAAAGCGTTATCGATGATAGTTCTAATCAAATATCTGCAGCTGCCATCCTCAACGAATTTTCACGTGCAAAAATATGGGTCTTACGCTTAAAGTCTTAAACTAATTGTGCTTACTCCAAGTATGCCTTAGACAAAACATTTGTCGTCTAACAAGTACCAAACATACTTTGGATTCCAACTTCCTTGAGATACGCACAAGCACGAGTCTTAATCGGCTGCCGAGGTTTAACAGTAATATTACTTATCACCAAGCGTCATTGTAAGATTTGGATAATCTTCAAACAAGGAAGAAACGTAGAATTTAATCTTTTCGTGAGTAAAGCATACGAATCACACAGATTCAAGTGAAGCGATTACTAATGAGCTTACATGTTTCAGTTTTATCTTACATCCTCCTAGGGTAAATTCTTTACTCTGCAAAATACGTGATTTAGGAAAAATTATTCAACTACGGTTTTAGTACTGAAGTTTCGCAAAGTGCCCTGTTATAACGTTCGGTGCCCTTGAATTCACAGAAAAGTACTCCCACAATTATGTTTCCGAATTAAGACGTTTTTATACGTAAATAAAGGAGGTGAACTATAGAATGTTGTAAATACGGTAAACAGTTAAGTTTTTTTCACTTAAATCCTCCAAGGGTGAATATATATTGCATTTCCACAATATTTCGAACATTTTTCGCTACCACTGTAGCGTGATTTCGCTATCTCACCGGTTGATCCGCTCAATAAAAGGCCATCTACTCTTCTTCTTGCGTTAAGTCACCTTAATATCGTTTCCAATTGAAGTATGATAAGGAATTCTACGACAGGCACTTATTTTATAAAATCTGCTGTTTTACAGCTGAAAATAAAATATCATTTGACAACTTACGCATGCAAAGTGCTTTCGGCCTTTAATAGAACACTTTAAGAGAAAAATATTGCAGGTCTCATATCCAAAATTTCGAGGCTCGGATTTGGCTTGCAAAGCGATGCGCTATGCACAAGTGTTTCCTATGTACGCAAGTCCTTTCCTGCTGGTAGCCATCAGTGCGGATCGATATCAGGTAGGATTTCCTTCCAAGTCTATTTTCATCCTCAGTACATGATTTCCTAACATATCGTAATCACAGAATTGTTCAGGCAATATGTCGGCCGCTGGCAAACATCCGTTCGTCTCGCTTTCGGCGACCAAATTATTTCGCTGCCGTTGCTTGGGTGTTAGCTCTTCTCTTCTCGATACCACAACTTTTTATCTGGAAAAAGAAGTAAAATCTGATGGAGTTTTATTTGTTCTTAACAGCTTAATCGGCATGTTTTTAGAGAGAACGGTGAATGTGCCACTATTTATGGAAGCAAATCTCATCTACTCAAAAATCTTTACGTCATTAGCTTCAACACAATAGGTAAAAAACCGCTTATTTGGATTTTTTGGTCATTAATGATATTAGTATCTTTGATGATACTATACTTGTGCGGTGCCGACTACACTTGCACTTGAAATATAGCCATTCAGCGCCCTTTTCAAATAAGGCGACCCACAGCCATTTTTTACGCGCAAAACTTGTGGCCACGCAGAAGCACTACATTAATCGTCGCGCAACGCTGGTAGCAGAATAGTAAGATTATATCTACAGCTGACATTTGATTGGTTCAATTAGTTAGTTCTGGCATTTGCTGATAAGAGGCACTAAGTCTTTTTCACAGAAATTCGCGCAAGCTTAGGTCGCTCCGCCCATTTGCATGTTATGCATAAGTGCGCCTTCGATTACTGGTGAAAAACGATGAATAGGCGTGGCCATTTCTTGACCTTATGATTTTGCATCCCTTGCTGCTAGACTACAATCAGATTTATGCTAGCCTGGAAAGTCTCAGTCTCAAAAAAGTTGTCTGAAGCCCAAATTGAATTTTTTTAGCATGGCTTCTTCCGTCCATATTCGCAGCATGTTTCTACTATTGCGTGTGTAAAGCCGTTTGGATGTCTCGATCAAAAGCGGCCACTCAACAAGAGGCCAACAAACTGGAACCAAAGAAGAGGTTGATCACATTTCCACTACAGAGCAAGCGGCATTATTTTAAGTTTTGAATTCAGTGATGTGACTCAAGACTACATCGAAAGATTGCGAAAGAAATCTTGTGGACATCGACGTCAAAATTCGGAATATGATCGAAAACGGGTACAGACAGGTATGATCTCTATAAAGAATATATGTATAGCCTTTTGTCTTACGAAGGCAGTGTCCAAATAAGCTAACATGCGCAAACGCTGCGCTCGAGCGACCATGCGCCCTGCTGTCACAACCGCATTAGCGCCGCATCGCACATACGATTCGAGTGCTTTAGATTGGGAACGAACATTGAATGTGCTTGTCTGATAGTATGATACACTAGAGTTCTGCGTCCATACCAAAAAGTCAAAAGCTGAGTCATAATATATTGTGCATGCTCCACTTCTAACGCAACTTGTACTTCCTGCTACTCAAAGGCAGCAAAACCGCAGCGTACGCGCACCTTAAAGGCAGCGTACACCCAAATTATAAGTTACCCAGTTCTCTTATACGGTGTATATGTAGGGCCCATGAAGATCAACTGCCGATCTCCCAATGTTGTAAGGGGAGAAAACCCGCCTGAATCCCTTTGCGCTCTGCCTCCTTCGGACGAATCCACGACAGCGTAAGCTGCAGTGCAGTTGCTGTTGCAGTTGCAGGCTGTTGCAGTTGCAGCTGCTGTTGCAGTTGCAGCTGCTGTTGCAGTTGCAGCTGCTGTTGCAACAGTGCAGTTGCTTTGTGTGGTCTGCCTCCTTCGGACGACGAATCACGACAGCATACGCTGCAGTTGCAATCAATTGCAACGTATGCTGTCGCTGCAACCGCAACTGCAGGATGTCATACAGTTGCAGCTGCTCCTCGCTGGCATGTTGTCGGGTCGAGCATTTCGAAACTCGTCCTCCCTCTGAAGAGAAGGTCCCGGATCAGGGTTTTTTGGGGGTTTTGGAGAATTTCAATGTCATAACTGTAATCAGGGGCACGGAAGGGCCTCAGAATGACAAAAACATCGAAGGCGAAATTTTAGGGGTACGCTGCTTTCAGCATTCCCTGCGTCGGTGACTCAGCTTCAATGCATCAAGTAGTAGACGCAGACATCCGCTTACTTTTGATCAAATATCGTAATTTGTATAACCAGAATGTGATTTGATTATTGAAAGCAATCAAAAAACCTATCGTTTTTTTTAGTAAGGCTCACAATGACAATTATTGCTACAAACTTCTTCTTATGGATGCCTTTTTGCGTGGTCAACATGATCCAAGCCATCAAACCCGATGCTTTGAGTAAGTTTCATTCCATACTCCATACGTGATACACATTTATTCAACTTTCAGGTGCTAGCTTAAGTGTCTATGTTATGATTCTGGGAAACCTGAATTCATGTGTAAATCCATGGCTGTACATACTATTCAATCGATCTCAAGCTGTAAAGGCTTTATGTGGACGAAACGCAGTTGGTGGGGAACATTCCCTGAAGGAGTTGATTCTGTCAAAGAAGACGTCTTCAGGATATACAAGTCATCGAAGTGAGACCGATGTGTCGTCAACCCGCCGATCTGAACGGAAAACCTCCACTGCTAATAGTTCATTTCACCCTACAACAGACAGTGTGAAGATGAAGGTAGGTCAACTTGAAGGCACAAATCGCTCCACTCAGGTTGAGATGGCGAGATTTTGATCATGTGTAGTAGCGGAGCCCTCAACTAACAAGGGAACCGTGCCGAGTCGAAGTGGCCTTTCCAGATGAGACCCATACTGCTTTGAAGAGCATTAATCGATGATTCTAAATCTGCTTTTCAAATCTGCCAAGCTCCTCTGGACGCCGAGTTATGCTCGTTTTTCAGGTCAAAAAATTGAACGCAAAACTGAAGCAAAATCGCCCAAATTTGCTCAAATGGTCCAGTGTCAAGTATCAGAGCTGTTCATGCAATGGATACATTTTGTCTAATATGCTAATACTTAACACTGCTTTATCTGAGCGCTGGAAAGGTTGTAGCAATCAATTTTACCTAAATTCTGCATCCATTTTTCATTCCGAAGAACGTTCATGACTCGGCGTCCAGAGGCGCTTGGCAGATTTGGAAGGCAGATTTGGAATCACCGCTTAATACTCTCCAAAGCAGTATGAGTCTCATCTGGAAAGGCCACTTCGACTCGACACGGTTCCCTTGTAAGTAACGTCTCAAGTACGGCTGCAAAAGATGAATTGTAGAATCAACTGAGGGTAGCTCCGCCCATCGATTTGGGGGTCTGAAGATCATAAGTTCAAAATGCATCACGGTAGTTAGAAACGTCGAATCAAATAATCATGATGTAGGGTGGATTTGTTATAAGTTTAGATATCTCAAAGATCAATTTTGATTTTGTTATTCTCAGACCACCCACTTTAATGGGCGGAGCCGCCTCAGCTTCTTCTACCTTCTGGAGCGATTTTCTCGCTTCGAAATTCATCTTTTGCAGCAGGAGTTGGGCGATTACTTAGCTGGACGCTCCGATATTATGCCGCATCAAAATCCCATTATTCTCAGTTTAGGTGGACGGTGACTTTGAAGGACTCGATTACAGTAACTGAGCATAAAATAACCTCTTCAGGTGCGCCGAAACGTTTCTTTTCAAGCTCAAACAAAGACGCAATGTGTCAACGGAGGATCGGAGAGCGATATTCTTATACGCAGATATCCGTGCTCGATGTACTCGCGCAAAACGAAACGAATGACTGAGAAATCACTGTCAAACGGGTATCGCACTTCTCTCCCTGAGAATGACTCTGCTGTTGTGCTCGTCACCACATCTGGGCGTGAACTGGCAAATGGCGTCAACAGAGCCTAATACAACATGGCAGTATCCAAATGATCTCAAGAAATTCTACAGATGAGCTGCTGGTGCTCAAAATTCTAGAGAATTGCATTTCTCAAGCAGTCGAGTCGACTGTAGGGTTACTGTACCGTGATTGGCGGGAAGTCGTAGACATTTGAACGCAAGCGGGACGAGGATGATCAAAATGATCAATCGTTTGCAGTCTTTTCGTGTACTGTGATCTTTGCATATTCTTGGATTACAGTCACAGTGTCTCCTCTTAGGTTTACGGTAAAGTGTATTTTCCTAGCCATCAGTAAAATCAACGAATTCATTATAAAAGGTCTGTTTCTCAGCTAAGGCTTACAAAAGATGGAAAGCCTACTGCAGAGGTGATTGTGGAATTTCCCAAAAATTTTATTTTGTCGCTATCTTTTGAATAGGTCAACCCTTTGACATCGTGCTTTACCCTACCTAAGGTGCTGGAACTTAGTCAAGAAACAGACAACCGTCCGGGTTATACTCGTTTCATTGTCACAATATGTTGTTGCTTGATATATGCCTCATTTTCATTTATAAAGCAATTTCAAGGTTCATTATGCTGTCTATGCTTTCAATAAAGATGTTTTTTCCAAAAGGTAGTTTCGCATTTCTCCGGAAGGAAAATTTGTTTAGAATCTAGTGTAAATGTGTTCTCCATAACTTTTGACAAAATATGTCGCCTGAGCAATTTTTCATATGAAAAGTGTATGTGAACTGTTAATACACTTGTTCCTCCTCTGTTGATTCGAGATATCGTCAAAATTAGTACTTTACTACTAGTACACACGTGATAGTAAAAGTGTAAGGGGCAAAGGTCAATTGAACGGCACAGTTCAACGAACACATCTGATGCGGCGGAATTTTTTTTCAGGATCATTATTCCTACAAACCGATCCTACCTTTGATCTGATGAATTCAAATTTTCCTTTTCACCTACTGACATTAGCATTGTTGGCTTTTTGGTGAGATCACTTCCACTGATCGTAAAAACCACAAGTGTGTTTTTTTATGAAATGCATTAGCTAAAGTTATTTAGTGAGAAAAACCAGGCATAACAGCTGTGATTGATTTGAGGAGCTATTAATGCTTTTTGAAACCAAAATTTAGATGGGCCAAAAACTTGACTTTGAATGCTTCTCGATTTCATTTGCAGAGCTGGAATATTCAGCTTCATAGCCATTTCTACTACTTCGAAATGTCGTAACAAGCTTTTCTAAAAACATGCTGTTTGTTTCAATTATCTGTTGAAAGCTTAGGAACACACCTCAATAGAGATATGTTCCATGTTGTTTATAAATTCTCAGTGCTAGATGTAGACCAAACAAGGTTCTGCAAATTAGGTTCATATTAATAAAATAAGCAGAAGTTGCATTTCGCCTTACAGGGTAAAGATCATTCTAACCTGTCAGAACCAAGAGAGTGAGAAAATAAAAAGCCAGAAAAAAAATGACTATTGACGTATGAAAACTATTTGCAACAAACCTAAAATTTGTTAATAACAATCTATGGCTTCTAGGTACTTCAATAGGTAAACGAAAACATCAATTATTTATTTATTAAGGACTGTGACAAGGGTTCAGTCTTTTATAGTTTCTTATAGAGTAATTTGGAATTGGTTAACACGTTGTGGGACAGACTGAGCGTCTTGTGGATCGGCATCTTGCTCCGCTAACCTTGAAAAATTACTTCGAGATCTGTGCAGAATGAATTTTTACAATATTTTATTCAGAACAGAACAAGTGATTATATTAGGTTGTCCCGAAAGTTTTGTCCTTCTTTTTCAACCTATCATAAAAACGCGTGGAATGAAGATAGGGAAACGATCAAAGCACTGTCCGACGCATCTTTTTCTTCGATTTCTAAATGTCATGCTTCCATGCCGATTAGTCTTTTGTTCACTGAGATAAACGCCGAAATTTCGAACCCATGGTTTTTACTATGTCCAAGTTTGGCAATTTTTCACAATCTTCATTATCAACTTTTGGAAGACCTTTGATAGCCTTCAGATAGAGTAAGCAATGGGCAATGCAATGCAATTTTGCGGCATCTATAGCCAGCCATGAAAATTTTTTAGAATCATTTTTCTGATGCTATAAAATTTCACTTTTGGTGATGCCAAAAGCCAGAGATCATGAAACGGCGCACAACTAAGGTGATATTCGATGCAGCTTTTCCTCCTCTCTCCAGTGAGCGTATTTTCTCTCCAATTTGCGGGGTCTTTGGCGATAAAATTTTCGTAATTCTTGAATTTGACCCCACCCCAGCGTGTACACGTAAAATGCAACATCTTATATTTCGAAGCGGTAAACGCTCATTTGCTTCGTAAAAATAGTGAATAATCGTAATCGATTTTTGAAAGCTTCAAAATTCGATGATTTGGTAGTGTTCGAGGCGTTTCTGTATTTTAGAACTTCGCGAAATTGAAGACTTTTGAAAAAATTATCTTTAAAAATACTGAAAAGCCAGCTAAATAAGCCAAATAATTGCATTATGTTGCCCTTTGTTTGCTCTATCTAAGTGTTGCCAAAGCTTTTCCGAAAGTCAAAAATAAAGATTGTGAAAAACTGCCAAACTTGGACGTAGTAAAAACCATGGGTTCGAAATTTCGGTGTTTATCTCAGTGAACAAAAGATTAATCGGCATGTAAGCATGACAGTTAGAAAGAGAAGAAAAAGATGCGTTGAATAGTGCTTAGAGAGTTTCCCTATCTTCGTTCCACGCGTTTTTATGATAGGTTGAAAAAACGGACAAAACTTTCGGGACAACCTAATATATTTCATGCTAATTATAATGAGAGAGCTCATATTTGCCGTAGTCGTTTTGAGGGAAATTCAAGCTGGATAATTCGGTCTCTTGAGTGGATTTGCGGAAGTTTTGAATCAAAAATATCACCGAAATCAAGTGTTTACCGCAGACGGTGTTCCCTTTAAATTTCTCCATATCTCCTTTAGATGATAGCAGTAAGAGTAAACATAATCTGTTATTTTGAGACCACTGTTTTACTTATCAGTACAAAGCGAGGAGCTAAGCGATTGCTATTTCTATCCTCTTTTCGTATAGACCCTTACAAATTGACTTCCCTATTTTCTTTTTACTAGTTTCTCTATTCCGCTGGTCTTCTATCTTCAAACTCAACTCTATCCTTGTGCGCGTTCACTTTGTGTTGGCATTTATCCAGATTGCCACTTATGTACAATAAGAGAGCAACTAGTTTCGAAAACTTCTCCAAAACTGGTTCCCATCATTATTTAGTTACTGTAGTTGGCAAAATTGGTCTCGCATCCGTTTAATGTTATTTTGACACACGAAAGGAGATCTTTGATATTTCTTGGCTTCTGGTGCTTCTTTCTCAAGCTTATAGTCACACAAAGTATTTTTCACCTTAGGATAGTTCTCTTTTATTTCCGTTACATTGCTATGAGGAGTAAGCTGTAAAAATAATCGCAAACACACCCGAAAAAGTTTTTTTAAAATTTTTTTCGCAGCGCTACGAACGAAAATCAAACATCTACTGGCTCAAAAGTGTTGCCACCTCGGGTTACTTTTGAACCAAGGACGAAATTATTTGACTTCGTAAGAGTAGGGAGTCGGATGGTTGGGGGGAGGGGGGGGGGTAGGGTCGGAGCAATTATTAATGTTTTTGGTACCATAAGCCAAACCTCTTGTAATTTTTTTGTGAGCTCAGGTTCATTAAGAAATGAAATGCTTCCGATGAATGACTTTCAAAGCATATTTAGCTAATATCTGATCCCGTATTATCGTAGTATAAAATGAATGAAAAATAAGTAAATTACCACCCAAGAAGAAAAATCACTAATATATGGAACTATTTGCAACAAACCTTAACCTTGTTAACATCAATCGTGACTTCATAAGTACCAGTCTAAAAGCAAACAAGAATTGTAGACGGTGATGTATTGGATTATTTGCTGACTATTTTGTTTTGGATCCCAAATGGGAAATTCTTTGCTTAGCATACATATTTCGTATGAAGAGGCTCACGTTGGAAACACCATATTCTGTTCAAAAATAACAAATCTATGGGAATGGAATGCCTGGATAAAAATGTGCAATGTTTTTTGAATTCAAAACTTCTAGTCCGGAGATGTACAAATTTTTTATTTTGAGCAATGACTCAATACGTTCTGCTCCGAAAAATTGTATGGTTTCAGGACAAAAGTGGCACTTACCATTTACTTGGTGAGTTTTGTTCCGCTATAGTTTATCAAAACTTTTTTAAAGATCTGTTCTTACTCATGCAAAAGGTTTTTGATGAGTCAAAAAATTGTCTTAAAGTTTAGCAAGCGTTGATATGACTCATGAAGTAACGAACTATGCAACCTTTTACGAGAGCATAGATCTTTCCGTTGAAATTGAACCAGACTTCATTGTAACTTCCGAGAATTCTGGTTTAACTCGTCGTTTGTCGGCTATTTTTTATCCGTCTACGTCATATTCCATCCAAATAAGTAGGCGAATTATTTTCGGCCACACTCGACCTTTACCCCTCCCTCCCCCTTCCCCATTCGGCTACGATTTTGTCAGCGATTTTGTCCTAAGAGAAAGCCAGACGCATCGAGAACAGGTCATCGTCGGCTACACTGTAGCCACTATCAGCCGATATCATTCAATTTCGTGGAGAGCGCGAATTTTTGATAGGAGCAAGCTATTGTGTTACGTCTTAATGACACTTGATTGATGCACTTGTCAGTAACCCGGACTCTATCCAGATAATAGGAATGTCTTCAACCACGTGCTCATTCATTGTGCTGACTTAAGCGCGGAATTTCTATCAAAAATCCACTATTTTTAAGAGGAGTCGTTCCTTATCAAAATCATCACAGTTTGTTAGCCTTGTTGTGCACTATCTAATTTCTTCAATCTAACTGATTATCACCAAATGAGTACCAAAAAACGAGTTTACGATATAGCTTTTACTTTGCTCTTCTAATTATTTCTACTGAAAAGTTTTTAGAGAAATTTTTAACAGA